TGGTGGAGACAAGCTACAGTTGTACCCACAGCTGGGTTTATTTATATAAAGTATTTGAAGTATTAACTGCAAATTGTTCTTGCTGTATTTGTGTCCAAACAATTTGTATAGGAAGTCATGACCTTTTACTTTTATTCGTTAGACTGAGCTGATCTAAATTCATAAACAGAGTGGAGTGGGAAGTTGTCTCTGCACATTTACCTGTGTAATTGAAAAAGCTTCCATTGTTTGTTACTTCTCTGTTTCTCTCTTTCTCTAACACAGAGCTGCTGAAGATCAGAGGATTAATTAAATGATTAAATTAATCACCAAGACCACAAAATCGTCTCTTTTCTTTTCTTATTTTAAAGAAATGCTGATTGATTACATTTTTGTACAAAAAGTTAGATGATTGTGAGGAAGTCAGGTGTGAGAATGTCAGTGATTAATGACTCTGACAGAAACGTTGTACAGATGAAGGTAAAACAGTTTCGGATATAAACACTATGTGTTTTAAGAAGCTTTTGTTGGAGATTCATTTATAAAGCATTTCTTGTTTTGTAGCTGAGTATACAATCAGCTTGATTTTTGACTTCTGCTTTCTATCTTTTCATTTAAGGAATCATCTGAAATTATATGTCGTAACATTTGTTTATATTTAGTTTGAGTAATATTAACAATAATTTGTCCTCATTTGTTTTGCACCTAAACACCTTTTAGAGGAAATCACAACCTTTTACTTTTATTCATTAGACTGAGCTGATCTAATATCATAAACTGAGTGGAGTGAGAAGTTGTCTCTGCACATTGATTTATTGCAACACTTCACTTCTTTGTTACTTCTGTGTTTCTTTGTATATGTAGCTGTTTGTCACATGTGTGTACTTAGATTTCGAGAAGATAGGAATGTGGTTGCTAAGGGGTTGCTATGTGCACTGATGTCACACAGGTGAAGGGTGTGTTGTACCAAACAGGATGACACACGGATGTGTGGGTTAGTTTGATCTGTGGCTCTTTGGTGCACAGGTCACTTTATACACAGACTTTAAACTGGCTACATTTTATTGTTTGATTTCTTAACTTTTTTTAAAACTTTTTTTTATTTTATTAAGTGGAATAATTCTTCAGTGTGTCCCTTTTTACATACTGAAAAAGCTGATACTGAACTCAGACTTTTTGGTTTTTTTTATCTTTCAGTGGATAATTTTATTTTTTCTATCCTGATGATCAGAAGAATGTTTGAGGGTTTCAGAGATCCTTCAGAACAACAGTAAGAGTTTAAAATGACGTCTTTCAGTCTTTCAAATATTCTGACAGGTTGATGAAGTCTGTGAGCTTCAGTGGATTAACAGATTGTTCATGTTAATCAATTTTAATCCATCTGAACCAGAATTAAAGCTTCACTTTCCTGGTTACAGATGAATTTCATGTGGAGTTAGTGTGAACCATCATATTTACTGTTGGCTGGTTTAATCTGTGAAAACACATCATATTCAATGTGTTTTATCATCTGAAGAACCAAAAGATGTCAGACTTTATCTGTACAATAAAAAAGAAGGAAATCACCACAATCATGAAAAGCAAATGTACTCAGTTACTCTCCTCTACTCTGATTACAGTCATGTGATTTACCTGAATTGCTGCAGCAGCTGCAGGTGGTGGACAAAGTTCTCCAGATCAGCTGTGGTTTGATGGAGGCTACAGCTGAATGCTGCCTCCTCCATAGTACAATATACATTTTATACAGTGACGTCATTTTGAAGTCCTTTGGCTGATGATTGATGATGAGGTTATGTTTGTGTTGTTCTGTGGAGATCATTCAAGAACTGAACCTGTTAAACACTCAGACCTGCTTTAGATTTCACCGCTTTGGTTATGACGCACTTATTCATGGTCGTCCTACAGCGCAGCGTAACAGACGTCACTGTAATGCGACTTCCTTAAGACAAAGAAAGTGTCGCGTTTGAACGAGTGGCTGAAAAACAAATGTTTCAGCTTTATTTAAACCTCAAAGTTAACCTCATGTAGGCAGTTTTACAACTTTAGTTTTGTTATTAACTGAAAATATCAACAGACTAAACTTTTATAATAATCTTAGAGTCAGATCAGCAGAAACAAAAACACGGAAATGTTTCCTGTAACTGCGTCGCTCTGCTCGACTTTGCTGTTTGTTGGCGTCGTCGTGTTTGTCTCTGCAGGTGAGGTTTATAAACCAAACGGTGTTTCCCTCTGAGATAAAGAGGAATAAACTTCAGTCTGGTTTACAAGTTACTTCCCAAAAAATTAGTTTCTGAGTGTCTGCTTGTATGATGATATATAGCATCACGAGGTTTGGTGGTGTCAGTGGATTTAACCGCTTGGTCAGCGGTGTAGTTTCCAGCACAGAGACAAAGAAGTGTAATGTGTGTGTCAGTGTGTGTTGTAGTTTCAGGAGTCAGTATGCAGCTACAAAGCTTTTGTTCAGTGTATACAAACAGCTGTAGCTCCATAAAGGCAGCATGCAGAGACTCACAGTGTCTTATAATGAGAGGCTGCTTTCTCTCACACATTATGTTCACTTATTATCAGCACGTTTCACTGTATAAATGTTTTAACAAGACAGATCATTCTATTCATAACAAGCTCATTATTTACTGTAGATAATGTTTCAGACAGCATTGCTTTAACCGTCTGAAGTCTTTTAAAATGTTTTCCACAAACTCATATTTTCTCCTGTTTTCACTGAGCTCATGTGCTGCAGCCTCAGTGTCTCCTCTTTATTGTCCCAGTGGTAACAGGTCACACTCACTGATCCAGTTACTGCCATCAGATGTAGCGTATAAACAATGCAGTTTAGTAAAAACAAGCATCATGAACATTAATTTATTACATTAAGTTAATTGTTAATAAGACAGCAAGAGTAAATAAAACTGCACATTTGCTGCTGCAACAAGCAACACTCACATCACAGCACCAAAATAAGGAATGGTACCTGAATCAATTCAGATTGTCAAACCTGTGTGAATGCTTAGTACTTTCAGTCTTGTTTACATACATTTACTCTGATTGGCTGCTGTAAAAGTGAGCAGTTGTACTTTGACCTTTAACCTCTCTGCTCTGTGTTGTTTCCACTTTCAGATCAGAAAAACCTCACAGCTGCATCTGGACAGAACGTCACTCTGACATGTCGAGCTCCAAACAGCAACAACATCATAGTTGTAGAGTGGAGCAGAGCTGACCTGGAGACAGAATATGTGCTTTTGTACAGAAATGAGCAGTTGGATCCAGAAAACCAGCATGCATCTTTTAAGAACCGGGTGGATCTGCAGGACAGACAGATGAAGGCTGGAGACGTGTCTTTGATTCTGAAGGATGTGACGAGTAATGACACTGGAACATACGAGTGTCGCGTCTTTCAGAGAGAAAGAATCCGCAGGAAGAGAGCTCATCTGAAGACCGACCCCATCACCGTCGTCAACCTTCATGTTGTTCCTCCAGGTGAGTGAGTAGAGTTGAGTGTGTGTGTGATCAGAGGTGAAACTGCTTCCTGGTTGTTGATGTTTGTTTCTAAAGATGTTGTTGATGAGACTTTGTAGAAAGCAGCTGGTCTGAGTGATGTGATCAGAGTGCAGTAGATAATGTCTGACAGCAGTTTGAAGAGCAAATGGATTCTGTTCTGTTCTTCACTCATCACCTACCTGACAGCTGACACCTCACACCTGTTTCTCACCTGCAGGTCAGACAGGAGGAGACACACAGGATGGAGGGAAGGAGGCAGGAGAGAAGGAGGCTGGAGGGAAGGAGGAGGGTGGATCTGTTGGACTGATCGTCGGTCTGACTGTTTTTGCTGTGGCTGTTGTTATTGCTGTTGCTGCTCTTGTTCGTTTTGTGATCTACAAAAAACGTAAAAAACAACAGAGTCAGGGTTCGTACATATGAACTGCAGCATGTGTGAAATGTCTCAGAGCTTTTTAAATGACAGTGAAGGCAAAATATTAGGAAGAAAATCCAAAGAAATAAACAACTCAAGAAGAAGACATAGCTGAACTGTCAGCCTGAGACTATAAAAGATTTTCAAAACTCCTATATTCTTAAAGATCTCTGAGATTAGACTCCAAGTGATGACACCTAGCAAGGATAAAAATCATTTGTATTCAGTAAGTTAATAAGATCAGATGCTGCCTATTAGAATATGTTTACATATTGTAAAGCCTACAGCATTTGTTACATGTTGTGGGCATTTTTACACTTTAATGTGTTGTCACATTACACATGTCACATGTTTTGTAAAATTGTAGCTAATTATCATTTTTAGCAGTAGTAGCAGAACAGTACTGCACAACATCCTAAACCAACTCTCATTTCTTTAAGTGCAGTAGCAGTAGTACTCGCAACTGTTTATTACAACAAGCATATATACAATAGATAAGGTAAAACCAGAGTTTGTACAGTTCTAATAAGCTGAAAGTCAATATTTAGCATAACTGCCTTTTTTCTTCAGTACACACTGAACTCGCTTAGTCAGCTAATTTCTTTAAGCAGTCTTCAGGAATAGTTCTCCAGGATATTCAAAGCTCTTCTTTGGATGTTTCTGCCTTTCGTTCCGTTCTCTGTCAAGATGACCCCACACTACATCAATAATGTTGATGTCTGGGCTCTGGGGAGGCCGATCCATGACTCATAGTTTCCACTGTGTGTTTTTCTCTCCAGTTATGCTTTTACTACACAGTCAGTGAGTTTGGAATCATTGTCATGCTGAAAAAGGAAACGGTTGCCAATCAGATTCTTCCTGGTGGACCAAAATCTGGTGCTTTTCAACCATCATTTTTAAAAAGATCTCCAACACCACTGGCTGAAGTGCTTCATGTGTTACAGATGGCTGTAGAGTCACTGTTGTACCTCTCCACTGACGACCTCTGAATGTATTGATGGTGATTTAAAAGAAAAGGTTAATATATGGATTCATCACTCCATCAAACCCGTTTCACAGATTTGTAGTGCAGTCCTTATGTAATTTGACATACTCAAATTCTGCCTGTTTCCTTTAAATTGGTCTCTTAAAAGCCTTCAACCTTCCCCTGAGACCATTTCTGATGAAGCTTCAGTGAACAGTAGATGAATCAACTGAAGGACCAGATGTATCGCTTACATTCTGTGTCAGGTCTTTGATGGATTTCTTCCTATTTCTTAAGGACGTGACTCTTTTGTTCAGTTTCCTCCGTTTTATAAGCACACACTTCACACCAGCTTATAGCTTTTGGGAGTCGCCTTGTTAGTGCAAAAATACGAGTTTATTCCTCTGAGATTGGCATAAATATGGCATCAATAGATAGTGTTATGAAACCAAAGAGAGAAATATTTTCCAAGTAGCTGCAGAATTAGACATTTCCTGTCTGATCTACTTTACTTTTCCTTCCATGAAGGACACACTGCAGTTTAAACATGTAACGTGTTGGTCCCATATTGTTATTTATTTGACTTTTTATGTTTTTTTTTTGTTTCTTGTTAATAAAGCTTTGCATACATTAATACTGAGTGTTTTAGTCTTTATTGTTCAGGTTGCTGTGAAATATTTTCTGACCTGTTGAACTGCACGTTTTATCTGAGCTGGAATCAAACCACATAAAATAAATAAATAAATACTGATCTGACAGGAAGAAGGGACGTTACCAAGAATAACACTAATAGTCCTGAGTGTGATTAAGTGAAGCAGACTTAGAGATGAGTCTATTGTTATAAAACAGGACTGGGAAAACTCCAGGGCTAGAGGGCCGGTGTCCTGCAGGTTTTAGATGTGTCCGTGATCCATTACAGCTGATTCAAACAGCTAAATGACCTCCTCAGCATTTCTTGAAGTTCTCCAGAGGCCTGATAATGAACTACTCATTTGATTCAGGTGTGTTAACCCAGGGTGAGATCTAAAACCTGCAGGAAACAGGCCCTTGAGGCCTGGAGTTGCTCACCCCTGTTATAAAAGAAACAACATAGAGGAGCGTTCACAGAGTGAAAATCTGCTTGGAAGCTACTGTGGATAAATTTAAATGATCTCACCATTCATGTAACACTTTAATGTAAACTAGATGTGATTTTACCACAACATACATTTTTTTTAGGTTTGACCTTTGACCTTATAAAAGTATATCAGTACAGAAAGTGGTGAGTTTCATATGTTCCTAAGTTTTCCTATGCACTGCCTTTTTGACACAATTGTTACTAATGAGATTATCGTGATTGAAAAAAAAGCAACAATAGTAGTTAGTTAGTTATAATATTTAATTAGTTAGCTCACAGCAACTGGTCTCTCAAGTTTAATTGTTACAGTTTTAATATATTAAAAATGTAATGACTTGACACTGAAAGACAACAAACACCAGAAACTGTTGAGGTGAAACGTTGAGTTAATATTAACGTTACTGGTGTTGTGTTGATCATAAGAGGACAGACAAACAGAAAGTACATTTTACTCCTGAATGTGGATGAAATATGTTCACTTTACTCTTGAAATGTGCCTTCTTTATTTCATATTAAAAGTAAAACAGGAAACATCCAGAAGGCCAGTCAATCTCAAAAGTTGTCAGAGAACATTGTTTCTTTGATTTTTGTTTTTTAAATAAAAACTGTTGAATCACTGATGATCTTCTTGTATCCATGTTAGTGTTTAAAGTCCAACATCTCCCTCTAGTGGCCATATATGAACATGTGTGAGGATGGTGTTAATGTAAAATGTGAATCATAGTGTTCCAGTCAGTCATCAGTGTGTCTCTGCACAGCTGTAATTAAAATGTGTTCAGAGGGCCTCAG